TAGTAACCCCTGAGTATCGCCAGGTGTGGCCCCAAAACTAAATAAAAATGCCCCATCCTGTCCCCCTAGTCCTTCAGCTCTGGCTCCTCGGTGCTCATGTGAGATGACCGCATGCCTTTACTTGTGCACATGGAGTGCCCGTGGGTCACAGGATTTGTCAGTGTATGCACCCTATTGTATCATTTTGCAGATACAGGATGCCCATACCCACGGTCTGTGAGCTGCTGGAAATAGGACCATTGCTCCTTGATTTCTTTAAGCAGTGATATGATAATGCCAGCCTGTCATCTTCCCTGTCAATCCTAAATGTTGACACAAATCATTTTCCTGGTCCTTGGCACCTGTTACTTGATTCCCCAACTGAAAAGTGTGCAATGCAATTCCAGTCCTGCCTGCCCACCAAAGGTACAGGAAGTCAGTCTTGGGAAAGGGGTCATTCTGTCAGTCTTGCACCTAATTTAAAGCAGTCAAAGCCAGAGATGGTAGGGTTGGGAAGGCACTTACAAATACTTACAGGTTTTATTTTTGTTTTTATTTGGTTTTTGGATCACACCCAGTGATGCTCAGTAATTATTCCTGGTGGTGCTCATGAGACCATATGGGATGCCAGGAGTCAAACCCAGGTCGACTACATGCAAAGCAAGCACCTTACCCACTATACTATCTCTCTGGCCCCAGCTGACCCCAGTGTAAGTCCCCAGGACGAAATAGGGTCCCCTGACCACCAGCAGGAGTGATTCCTAAGAGCTTCGTCCAAAAGACAAATTAAAAAAACCAATAAATCCAGTCACATTTTGGTTCTGTTTCCTGATCTCTGAAAACTAGAAGTAATCTGTCTGAATGATTGTTTCCTGTAGTATCTTATCTACATTAGATTTATTATGACATTTTTATGAAATCATTTCTATCATTTACATGTTGATACATAAAGTTGAAGTTTATGATTATGAAAAGGTAACGGTACTCTATCTTGTTTCCCTTGCTTACTTTTGGGGATCTGTCTTTTGGCCTACAGCCAAGTTTCCATCTCTTCCTGGGTTCAGCCTTAGTCTATACTATTCTTATAGTTATCTAAACAGCTGCTTTTACTTCTTAAACCAGGTTCCACCCTTCCCCTCTTTCAAAGCATAGCTCAGAGTCACCTCCCGGAAAAGCTTGCCAGTTTTGCAGAAGGAAATGATAAACTTCCAGATAAGTTATTACTCCACTAACTCAGACTTCCCATTCAATACGTGTTTAATGTCTAGCCTAGCAGATGGTAAAGAATGCCTTTGGGGGGAGGGTCACAACTGATGGTGTTCAGGGCTTACTCCTGACTCTACTCAGGGATCACTTAAGGGACCATACGGGATGACAGGATTCGAACCCAGACCAGCAAGTGCCCTACCTGCTGTATTATCTTTCCAGCCTTGGTGAAGTATGCCTTCACAGGCTTGCTCTTCAAGCCCCTGTTCTAACTTGAACACGTATCTGGCTTGCTTGTCTCTCTGTTTTTCTGCTCATTTATTTCCACTCTAGAGAAATATTCTCTCTCGGACACACTTCTCCCCTTTCTCTCCTCTCCTAGCTTTCTAAGAACGTTTTTTTTTGGGGGGGGGGGGCGTTCATACCCATCAATGCACAGGGGTTACTCCTGACTCTGCACTCAAGGATTACTCATGGTGGTGCTGGGGACCATATGGGATGCTGGGAATCGAACCCGGGTTGGCCATGTGCTGAGTGTAGAGCCAGGAGTAACCCCTGTGCATCGATGGTGTTACCCAAAAAGCAAAAAACAAACAAACAAAAAGACTACCTTACTTCACTGAAGAAAAAAAAAATAAGGAGTGCCTTTTTATTATAAAAGTTTCACCTGTATAAAATACTTTAATTCACAGTATCATGCTTAAAATGTTTCACAAATGTGATATATAAATTTTTTTGAAAATCTCCTTCCCCTTGGGGCCAGAGCAGTAGTACAGCAGGCAGGGTGCTTTCAATCCCCAGCATCCCATGTGGTTCTCCTAACCTGCCAGGAGTGATTTCTGAGCACAGAGCCAGGAGCCAGCCCTGAACATTGCCAGGTGTGGCCCCCAAAACAAAAAAACAACCAACAAACAAAAGAATCCTTCCCGGAGATGTGTGCTGAAAGTAGATAAAGGACCAAACGTGATGGCTTCTCAGTATCTGTATTGCAAACCGTAATGCCCAAAAGTAGAGAGAGTATGGGGGAAACTGTCTGCCAGGGAATCAGGGGGAAGGTGGGGGAGGGGTATACTGGGGAGATTGGTGGTGGGGGATGTGCACTGGTGGAAGGATGGGCGTTTGAACACTGTTTGAACTCAAACATAAAAGCTTGTAACTGTATCTCACAGTGATTCAATAAAAAAATTTTAAAAATTAAAAAATATAGACTCCCACCCCCCCCACAAAAAAAAGAATCCTTTCCTCCCCACTTTCCCTTTGCTGCTGATGTTGTTGCAGTGAGTGGGGCTCTCACACACGCTGACCACCATACTCTCTGCACTCACACCACAGGCTGTGGCACTTGCACACAGGCGACAGTGTTCACTGAGGCTGGCATGCCTGGCATGGCTGGCACACTTGCTCTCTTAGGCTCTGACACTGGGCCAGTGGGAGGGAGGAGGACCACCTCCAGTGGTGCTCTGTACTCGGAGGTGACTCCTGGCCTTGCTTGGGGGATTGAACCAGGGTCTGCCGCGTGCAAGGTGAGCGCTACACCTGTATGACCTGTCCCTCCCTGGGAGTGCACTCAGTTGAAACACACCTGTCATGGCTGGGAGGCTTCCCAAGGGTCCTTGCTGTGTTCACACATGTGATCACGGGGGTCCTGGCCCTCCCACATCTTTATAACTGTAGTACTGACAGGAAATGCAGGTACACACCCTGACTTAGGTACTGCTGAACATTCCTTGCAAATTCCCTGGGAACTGCCACCAGCAGAGCTACCAGTGCTCCAAGCTATTGGGCTATTCCGGTCCCAGTTCCACCTCCCCCTACCCCCACCCTTTTATTTCCCTTTTTTTTTTTTCTGGCTGCCAACCCCTTGGCTACAGGCCCCTTTTGGGACACGTCCTGCTGTGCTCAGGAGCTATTCCTGGCTAGGTGCTAGGGGCTACTCCTAGTTGTAGTTGTGTCAGTTGTGTCCAGGGAACCATACAGTGCTGGGGATGGAACCCAGGCCACCTGTGTGCAAAGCATGGGCTTCAGCCTGCTGAGCGCTCTCTCCAGCCTTGCAGTTCCTCTTTTTTCAGAGCAGGGTTTATTTGTGGAAGTCACACCTGGGGAGGGGACATGTAGTGGTAGGAATCAAACACAGGACCGCGCTTGAGTCACATCCTATCTCTTAAGCACTTTATGGAGGGGGGAGGAGTGATTAGGGACTACACCGGGAAGGCTCCCAATAGTGCTTAGAGGACCAATTGGTGTGGTGTGTGAGTGTGAGTGCCAGGGTGGAACTGAGACTGGCTGCCTGCAAGGCAAAAGCCTTAACCCCCAAACTAGCTCTCTGCAGTTCCCCTTAAATAGGCTCTTAAAAGCAATTCAAGGATGACTTCCGTAAGGCAAGTGAAAGGAAGAGAGGGGGTGATATAACTCGGTGGTGGTGTGCATGTTCCTTGCACATGAGGCCTGGTCTCCACCCAGGCACAGAGAGAAAAATAAAATTAAAACACACACACACACACACGGAGTCACAGATGTGAGTTTGCCCCTGCCTAAGTCCTTACCTCACTGGGTTTCCCCAAGGGTGATATTAGACAGTGAGGTAGTTGTACTTATAAAACGCAATCAGGGCTGAGGAGATAGCGTGAAGAGCTAGAATCCCTTTTTGATCCAGACACATGGTCCCTCAAGCACAGCCAGGAGGCTCCTCCCAAGCACAGCAGGGCGTAGCCTCAAAACTAAACTAAAATGAAATAAATAAAATGGAATCACATCTTAGCGCCAATCCCTCTTCCTCAAAAAAAGCCTTCCCAGACAGCATGTTACACCCAGTTCCAGTTCCGGGCTCATGGATGAGCAAGAACCTGGTGGCGAAGACAGGGGCCTGATTAGATCCTGGCATCCCAGGATCTCCCTAGCACCAAGAGGTGCAGTCTGAAGGCCCTCCAGCTAACCCCACCATTGCACGGTGTGGTCCCAGAGCCCCACCCCCGCCCCAATGAGCACCCTCTGGGGTCCCCTGCACTACAGGGACAGAGCAGTACTGTCTCCTCCATCCTATGAACTGAACCCGCGCCCATCCCCTGGAGGGGCCCCTGACCCCTGAGAATTGTCTTACAGCCCCCGCTCCCGCAAAAAAAGAAAAAAAAAGCATTAACAAAACAGGTACTTCCTTCCCTTCCTTCCCATCATTTATCTCTGCTGTAGCGGTACAATGTACGTGTCTGACTTCCCGTCCTTCTCCTCTAGACTGGAGACTCCGTCAGAATACTGATGAAGTCCTGTCGGGTTTTCCATTGGGTCCCCGGGCCTAGCCTTGATGGGGGGGAGACAGCTCCCCTCCCCCACCCCCACCCCCCCACAGCACAAGAGCTGAGTGCCCACGTGACTCCAACACCCAAACAAGGTTTGAAATGTGTTTCCTCTTGATTTTGCTGGATAAATGAGAGTCAAAACACGAACTTTCTGAGTCACCCTAGCCTGGACTATTGTTTTCCGCCTGGGAAAAAAGCAAGCACTCGGATGAAGGGATGGAATGAAGGGATAGAATGACGGGACTAAAGGACCGCCAAGGGGCAGCAGTGTCAGAACAGAGCCCCGGGGGAGGACACAACGCCCACTGAGGACGTGAGCATCCCTGACGACGCGTGTGGCTGGCCCTAGGTCGTGGGCGGCAGGCCTGGGAGGTGGGGGGCGGGGGGTGGTCCCTCCGTTCCGTACAATGAACCAAGATGGCCCAGCCCGGGACAGCCCAGTGGAATCAAGATGGCAGCCTCCTGCTTGCCCGGCGCGGCGCGCCTGCCGCGGCCACGCCCAGTTCCGGTTGGGTGGGCCTTGCCTGGTGGCGCTTCCGGCTGGACGGAGCGCAGCATGGCGGCGCTCGGGACCGTCCTCCGGAGTAAGTGGGCGCTGGCGCGCGGGTTTGTCCCCTCGCGGGCGCCGGCCCTAAACCCCCCGGGACCAGCGGCGCGGTCATGCCCCTCACTTCTCGCCTGTTTTTCCCAGCAGGTGTCCGGAGGCTGCATTGCAGCGCGGCGGCTGGAGCGGGCAGTAAGTGGCGACTCCAGTAAGTGGCCAGTGTGGGGGGCGCTGGGCACCGAAGTCGGGCTGAACCCCTCACCCTGTTTCCCCCTCCACCCAGGCAGGGACTGGCTGCCAACCCCTCCGGCTACGGGCCCCTGACGGAGCACCCGGACTGGTCCTATGCAGGTGAGCGCTGAGCTGACAGCTAAGGACACTCGGGACACGGCCAGCCGTGGACGCTTCCCGCGCGGATTCTGGGGAACGGGTCTGGTGGAAAACGTAATAAAAACTGAGTGCTTGGGGTTGGGGAAAGGCACCCTGTAGTGTTTTGGTATACGAAACCGCGCCCCTGGGAAGTGAAGCAGGACAGGATCCCATTGGCTCACGGGAATAAAGTTGAAGGTCAGTTTTGTCACGGGTGCCCAGGGGTGAGGGGAGGGGGCGGGTAGGTGGGTAGGGGGCTTACAGTTACGGTTCTCCAAAAGGAGATGAGGGTTCTTTTTTCTTTATTTTTTTTCAAAGGTCAGGAATACCCCCTTCTGTGGGATGAGTACTTTCTTAAAAATTTGGTAGCAAGTGCTGGGAGAGTTCTTTGCAAAGTTACCTAAGTGAACTTCCCAGAGAAGGGCAGAAAAAGTGATTGGGGATAGAGTGAGGGCTCAAAGTTGGAGTGGGGGACCCCTGGCTTTGGTCCCTGCACCCACGACATAGTCCCTGGACTAGCCCCCAAGCACCAGTAGGTGTGACCTGACCCACAACCACACAACCAAAAAAAAAAAAAAAAAGGTTAGAATGCCGGAACCCCTTTGGGAACAGTCTTCACTTTCTTTTAATGGGGAGGAAAGAGGAAAGCATGAGAGGATGCCAGAGAGATGGCACAATGGGAAAAGTCACATGCCTTTTTGCCTGATGGCCACCACCTATGCTGCCCAAGCAGGAGTGATCCTTGAGCACAGAGTCAGGAGTGATCCATCCCTGAGCATCACAAGTGTGACTCCAAAACCAAAAAAGGTGGAAGTGGATAGCGAAAGAGGAGGGACGGAGGATGAAAGGCAGGTAGAATGGAAAGAATAGGGGAAAGTAGAGACCAGAGCAATTTAACGAAGGATTGGGCGTTTGTCTTGCATGCAGCTGACTTGGGTTCTATCTCCAACATCCCATATGGATCCCCAAAGCCCCACCAGGAAGTGATCCCTGACCACAGAGCCAGGAGTTAAGTCTTGAGCACTGTTGGGTATAGCCCTTCATCCTCACCTCTTTAAAAAAAAAAAGAAGAAGAAGAAGAAGAGAGAAAGTGGAATAGCTATTAGCCCAGGGGAGAGGACTATGGAAAGTTGAAGCCACTCCCTATAGAGGACTTCAGGTCCAGATGAGAAGATTGAAGACTTTAGGATTGCACAGGTAGGCAATTGCAGGGACTAGGGGCGGGCGGCAGCCTGGCCCCGTCAACAGCACAGAGACCCAAGCATGAACACCCTCTTGTATTCTGCCAGAGTCTGATCCTCTTCAGTGACCGAGGAGGATGATGAGGATTTTTCCTTCTTGTTTTTTTACTGGAGGATCTCCTTGAAGTAGCTTGGAACATTGGAAATCCTGTGAAGTTTGTTCTAAAGGTTTTGTTGTTTTATCTTTTGCTGTGTCAGGGACCACACCGGGGCCTCGTGCCTGAGAAATATGTGCTGTACCACTGAGCTACATTCTGGACTTTGAAACTGGTTCTCTTTCAGGGGGGTGAAGGAAAAAAGGGAGTTGGGGTCACATCTGGCAGTGCTTAGGGCTTCCCCCTAGCTCTGTGCTCAGGGATCACTCCTGGCAGTACTTGGAACCATGTGGGATGCTGGAGATTCAACCAGGGTTGGCTATGTCCAAAGCAAGTGAAGTGTCTTGCCTGCTGTACTAGCTCTCTACCCTATGATTCTGTTATTTATTTATTTATTTAGGTCCCTTTGGCTATCCCTGTTAGTGCTCAGGGGTTATTCCCAGCACAGCCCTCAGATTGCTCTCAGTGGTGCTGGCGAACCAGATAATGCCAGGGATCATGTTTAGTCCTTTGAACTACTGCCCTTGCCCTGGAATTGATTTCTTTATCCAGGCTTCTGTTTATTAACTTTGTGGGTTAGGTTAAGTTTCTTGGCTGTGTTTTTTCATTTCACATCTGTAAAAGAATATCTCCGTTGGTTCTTCTATGGATAAAATGAAACAGCCAACTTAAACACATAGCATACACTCCTTTCCTAATAAATATCTTTTTTTTTTCTTTTCGCTTTTTGGGTCACACCTGGCAATACACAGGGGTTACTCCTGGCTCCATACTCAGGAATTACTCCTGGCGGTGCTCAGGGGACCGTATGGGATGCTGGGAATCGAACCCGGGTTGGCCGCGTGCAAGGCAAACACCCTACCCGCTGTGCTATTGCTCCAGCCCCTCCTAATAAATATCTTTTGTTTTCAAACTTTTGGGTGAGGTTTTACTTTTCTTTTCTAGAAATTCTTTATCTTCATCTCCATTATATTGCAGTAAAAACTAGTAATATACTCCCTAGTAACAAGGGACATATATCTAGTTGGCAAAACAAACCATAAATATTTTATTTGGTGTTTTTTCCCCCTTTACACTTTATATAAACCCTGTAGTTTACAAAGCTGTTTGTTAGAGACATTCAGTATTCCAACACCAGTCCCACCATCACTATCTCCAATTTTCCCAACAACCCCTTAAGACTGTCCCCATGCAGGCCCTCAATAATTTATTTCATATTGCTTGTTAAATAATTTGCTAAAAGAAAAATCAAAAACATTTTTTTAGAAGAAAGCTAGTAAAGATTGTTGTATCTCATGATGGAGCCATTAAACCCTTTTATACAAGATTATTAAGATATCAATTTGCTCGAGCGGGCCCAGTAACGTCTCTATTTTGAGACTTGTTACTGTGTTTGGCATTTTGAATACGTCACAGGTAGCTTGCCAGGCTTTGCCATGTAGGCAGGATACTCTCGGTAGCTTGCCGGGCTCTCTGAGAGGGACGAAGGAATCGAACCCGGCTCGGCCAGGCTGGCCGTGTGCAAGGCAAACGCCCTACCGTTGTGCTATCGTTACAGGTTAAGACTTTTGTGGGGTTTTTTTTGGTTTTTGGGGTTTTTTTTTTTTTTTTTTTTTTTGCTTCTTGGGTCACACCTGGCGATGCACAGAGGTCACTCTTGGCTCTGCACTCAGGAATTACTCCTGGCAGTTCTTGGGGGACCAGAGGGGATGCTGGGAATTGAACCCAGGTCAGCCACGTGCAAGGCAAACAAAACGTCTTACCTGCTGTGCTATCGCTCCAGCTCCTATATTTTCTTGACACCGGTTGCCTTCTACATTACATCCCATCCAATCTGGTATGCCGTTCCTGCTTTATCTAGGAATATTTTAAGATGCAAATAGTAATATGTCAGTGCTCTATCCCATTCAAAAAGAATTTGGGATGGTTAAACGCTGCCATAAAACGGGGCTGAAGAGATGGTATATATAGGGGTAAAAGGGTTTGCCTAGTATGAGGTGACCCGAATTTGATTCCTGGCACTGCATGTTCCCTGGAGCACTACTAGGAGCACCATGCTGAGCACAGAGCAGTGGGTAGCTCCCAAGCACATGAGATGTGACCCAGCCATCAAAAAGATAGGTAAGGGGCTGGGGCAATAGAACATTTGTTAGGTAGAACATTTGCCTTGCATACAGCCAACCCAGGTTCAATCCTGGCATCCCATAGGGTTCCCTGAGCGCTGCCAGGAGTGATTCCTGAATGCAGAACCAGGGGTAACCCCTGAGCATTGCCGAGTGTGACCCCAAAAAGATAGGTGAATGTCTCAAGGCTGGCTGTAGGAAATAGCTCAAAGGGCTGGAGCACATCCTTTGCATGCAGGATCCACAGGTTCAATCCCCAGGACTGCATGCTCCCCCTGAGACACACTAGGTATGACCCCAAAGGAAACAAAGTTCCAAGGCAAAACAGATATTAAAATGATTGGTGTGCATTCAGTTCTAGAGAGCTGTGCAGCTAAAGAGGCTAGAGAAGGGTTTCTGGGACAGGGAAGGCTCAAAGTGAGTCTAACAAAAATTTAGATGATAGGAAAAGAGGGTGTTTCATTATAGAATATCAAAATTGAGCAGACTCAGTGATTAGAACAGTGATGAGTTGATTTGAGTGGAGAATTTTTTTCTTCCTGTTTTGGAGTGGGGGCCACAGCGGGTTGTGTCTGGGCTTACCTCTGACTCTCCACTCAGAGGCTAGGGAGACCCTGTGGGGTGCTGGGGATTGAACCTGGGTTGACCACACACACAGCAAGCACCATACCCGCTGTACTATCTCTCCAGCCGGATTTCTGATGATAAAAGGTTGCGGAAGGCCCTTAAATTGCAGGGTAAAAGGGATAATGATCTAGAGTGATCCAGGGCAGGCCTAGGAACTTACTCTTGGTGGTTTGGCGTATCTCCTCCTTAGATGAGGAACTTGTGTTTGGAGTAGGAGCAGTTGGGGGGGGGGGACGGGGGGGCCTTGGGACATGTTTTCCCTTCATTTCTCAGCTTTCTTGCACACAGCAGGACAGTCCCTCTCTGACGCTTGCCTGTCCTCTCACTTCCCCCTGCAGATGGCCGCCCTGCTCCCCCAATGAAAGGCCAGCTCCGGAGAAGAGCGCAGCGGGAACAGTTTGCTGTGAGTGGTGGGAGCCCTTACCAGGGCAGCCTGGGTTTGACTGCAGAGCCACTGTTACAGGCATCATTTGTTTCCAGCCCCTACAGTCCCCTGAGCTAACGTGCACCCCATCCCGAGGTTTCCATGAGAAGGGGTGGCTAGTCGGGGCACTCCCGGGTAGGATCCCGGGAGAGACTTCTGCCGTACACGTGCTGCCTTCCTCCTGCTTCTCACCCAGGCTCCAGGCCCACCCCGTCCCCAGTCGGCACTGCCCTTTAGCCACCGGCCTCGGGCTTTGATGTGCGGGTGAAAGGATGCAGGGTGCTCGGAGCCCAGATGTCATCCCCACTGTCTTCCTGTTTCAGAGACGCGTCGTCCTGCTGTCACAGGAAATGGATGCTGGCATGCAGGCATGGAAGCGCAAGCAGCAGGAGATGCTGCAGGAAGAAGAAAGGAAGCGGGAAAACGCCCTCAAACCCAAAGGGAGACGACTCCGGAGCCCCACGCCACGCCCGTGAAAAAACAGCTCCTGGCTTCCATTCTCTGCGCGGCCGTCCCTCTCTCTCTGGCTTTCTCCGCTGCCACCTTCTCCACCAGCAGAGAGCCCTCATTGTTCCCCGTCTGTCTTCAGAGCAGAAGGGCTTGAGTACTGGGAAGAACGGACCATGAGATCACTGCCGGCCAGGGTTGGCTCTGTGCCTACACCCCTGCTTCGGTCCAGCCTCATTCTGAGATACTTTCTCCCTCCCTCTCCGGCCGTCGGACTGGCCCAGCTGTGAGCAATGGTTGATCTATGAACATGAGAATGGAGCTACCATTTTCCTGCTTGTGGCCTTGCCTTCAGACCGTATGGGCTCAGGCTCTGTGATGTTGGGCATTTAATAAATGTGCCGGAAAAGCCTTTCCAGCTGAGGCGACCAGTGTCCGTCCGTTTTCTAGACTTCAGAGAAACTGCTCAGGAGAACGTACCCCCTGACGTGGGTGTTGCGCGTTGTCTAAAGAATTGGATTCTGAGGTTTCTGTGGGTTCCGACTGAATCCCAGAGGTCAGCTGCAGAAAAGGCCTGTACAGCCTGATCCCAGTCTGTGTCGGGGAGCTGTGGAGGTGCTGGGTCCCTAGTTTCTGTGGAATAGATGTCTGGTTCCCACTGCACACTTACGAACCTTTGACCAGTTGCCGTGGAGCCAAGAAACCATTTCCTGATTATTGTGGCTCCTGCAGCAAATTGTTTGGGGGGCTGCCCCCTGCAGTGATCAGGGCTGACTCCTGGCACAGTGCTCAGGGATCACTCTTAGTGGGCTCGGGGCACCATATGGAGTGCTGGGGATGGAACCAGGGTCAGCCTCATGCGAGGCAAACACCCTATACTATACCCGCTATATTGTTGCTCCAGTCCCTCCTGCAGTGAATTCTGGGGAAAATATGGAGGCATCAACTTTCTGCGACAAACATGTCATTGTTTCTGGGTCTCTGGGATTTCTGGAGCTTCTTACCTGACCTCATTTCTGTCTAGCTTTCTACTCCTTTCCCTGCTTTCTTCCCCTCCTTCTCCCCACTGCCTCCTTCCTCTCTCGCTGACCAATGCAATTCTTGGATCTTAGATTTCGCTGATGGTGGAATTTTCTGTCTCCCACACTTTTCCTGCTTCTGCCATGCCGCTTTTCCAGATCTACTTCTCCACTTATCTGTCCCTTTCCCACTAGCAACTCGAGGGAGCCCGCCTCTCTGCACACCTCCACCTTTGTTCTCAGCGTTTTCCTGGCTTCTGAGTGGTCATCTTAAAGGAATCACTTGGGAAACCAAGTCTCATTCTCTTCTCTAACAGTTTCCCCAAACTTGATTTGCCTTTCCCCAGATTCCTAGGCCCTGCGCCCCTTTGCTCCCCTGCCAACTCTAATTTAAGGAGAAGCCAGGTTGCCAATGATAATAATAAAGGGAACACATTTGTCTTCCTACAAGGACAGAACCCCTAGATCCAGTGTGTTTGTGGGTAGCCGGGTTTCTGGACGGTGGGTTTGTTTTGGCAGAGGTCGTTAGTTGTCAAGCATTGAAAGGATCAGGCAGCGGGATGAAGCTCAGCAGTAGAGCCCTGGCCTTGCCTGTGTGAGGTCTAGAGTTCGAATCCCCGAACAAGAACCGAAAAAAGCACGGACAGAAGTTTCTATTCAGTTGGGCCCCGGCCCCCCAATGCGGGTTTCCTGGCTGGCCTGAGCCAGGCGGCAGCACCATCCCACACTTGGGCTCCCCGCGTGCCCCAGACGCCAGCGGTGCTCAGCACTTTGAGGTGAGACAAATGCTGAATACCAGAGGAATGGAGCCACCCGAAATATGCTTAAGGGGAGGGGGGATAGAGCCAGTCGGCCACATCCCGTCCCCTGGGTTCCTCCCCACAGCCCCCCGCGCTGGGCCGCGACCTCAACCCCTACTGATGGCAGCCTGCCCTGCAGAAAGGCAACTTGGGTTCTTTTTGTGTGCTTTTTTTTTTTCTTTCCCCCTGGCTCTTGGCTGTAATTGGATTCAGGCAGAAACAACCACGTCCGCACCGGGAAAGGAGGGCATTGGGGCGGGGGCGGAGGAGAGGCTGTGGGAGAAGGGAGGGACCAGAGCGAGCCGAGCGCGCTCCGGGGCCAGTTCGCCGACTAAGCAGAAGAAAGATCAAAAAACGGGGAAGAGGGGACGAGCACAGAGGCGCTTGCGGGAACTAACTCCTCGGCCACCACCTCCTCCTCCTCCTCGGCCACCACCTCCTCCTTCGCAAAGGACAGCGCTCGAGGAATCCCAACTCGGTGCGTGGCCGAGACAAAGGCGCCCGGGGAGTGGCGGAGCGAGCCCCGGGCTTGGGCCGCGCCGCGCAGCCCGCAGCGCCCGCAGCCTCGCGGACATGCCTCGCGCCCCGCCGCGCGCCCGCAGCCTGCTGCTCCCGCTGCTCGCGCTGGCCGCGGCGCTCGCCCCGCTCGCCTCGGCCCAGGGCAGCTTCAGCCCCGAAGTAAGTGAGCGCCGGGCCCCTGGAGGCCACCGTGGGGTGGGGCCCTCCGCGGTGCAGAGAGCGGGCTCCTGGGGGTCTCGGCCGCCCCGGCCGACCTGCGCGCGCCCCCCCCTCCGCCACTTGGCCCGACTTCCCCGCCCGGCAAGTTTTGCCTCTTGCAGCCGGCCCCCAACCCCCACTCGGCCCGGCCGCCAACTTTCTTCGCCCCGCGCCCGGCCCTTGCTTGGAAGCGCCGCTTCCCCGCGGGGCCCGCGCCCCAGCTCTGTGTCCCGGGACGCCGCGCTCAGCGCCGAGGCCGGTGCGCTGGAGCGGGCCCCGCGGGGACTCGGCGCTGCCCGCGCGCGAGCTGGTTCCTTCTCCGACGCTGCAGCCCGCGCTCGCCCGCCTGCCCCGCGCCCCGACGGCGGGCGCCCGGGCTGGCTCCTGCGCGCCGCGGGGCCCCGCCGCGCCCGCCCCGAGCCCTGGCGTCCAGCCGCGGGGCGCCGGCGCCCACCCGCCGCTCCCGAGCGCACAAAGCCCGCGCTTGTGAGCCGGGGGCTCGACCCGGCCGCCGCCGCCACCCTTTTCCCGCGTGCCCCTTCGCCCCCGCCGGCGCCTTTGGGGCCCTTTATGGTGTTTCTGTTCATTGTTTCTCTGGGTCAGTTACAGGGAGTCTGGGGGGCGTCGCACTGGAGACCCCGGGCGGGCCCGGTCCTGCGCGCCAGCACCAGTCTGGGCTCACTCGGGGTGGGGGCGACCCCCCGCCCCAGCCAGACACTGGCCCACCCGGCCCGGGAGGAAGCAGCGTGGGAGTTGTCCTGGAGGTTTTTCCTCTCTTTCTCTCTCTCTCTTTTATTTTGGGGTGAAGGTAGGAGTCGGATTCGATCAGCTTCTTATTTTGGGCCCTCCCAGCCCACTCGCCGGCCAGGGCCTGGGTGCGGTCGCGAGGGGGGCGGGGGGAGGGGATCAGGACTTGGCTTGTCTGTCCCGGTCCCACCCCACCAAACTGCCCCAGAAAGAACAGAGAGAGAGTTTCTGTGTGTGTGTGTGTGTGTGTGTGTGTGTCTTTGTCTGTGTCTGCTGTCTGTGTCTGTGTGTATCCCACAGGGAGTTGTGCCCAGAGGAAAGGGTGGCCCTGGGCATGGGGGTGAGCGCCCAGAGAAGTGCTGCCCAGCTCATTCTTTGCAAGTCCAGGAGGACCCTCCTCATCCCAGGCCTGCAGTCCAGCAAGCTCTATGCTAACAAAAGCAGCTGGCCTCTGGGGGGTCTGCCCATAGCCCCCTCACCTGCCCTCCACCTTTCTCTCCCTTGCTTGAAGCGGTCATGGTCAGCCCACGGGCAGTGCCAGAACCACCATTTGCTTTGGGGCCTGGAGGGGTACAAGGCAGAGAAGGGAAGAACAGGCCTCGGAGCAGCGGCCGGGATCCCCCCCTGCCCTCGCCAGGACACCCAGGCCAGGCGCAGGAGGGGAGGGGTCTCCCCACTTTCCCAGTCAGAGCCAAGCCAACTTCTTTCACACGACACACTTGTTGCCTCTCTGGGCCACTGTGGAGGAGAGCTAGATTGTCCCCGGCCTTGGGTAGCCAGGTCCCTCCCCCAGGGCCCTCCACAGCCCTGCACCAGTTCGCCGGGGCCTGTCTGGCACTGCCGCCATCCCCCACCCAGCCACCCAGCCGCAGACACAAGCTCCCCTTCTGTGGTTCCAACCTCATTGCTCCTCTGCGGCTCCAGCTTTGCTCAGAGCCTGCCCCCAGAGGCGGGGAAGAAAGCCCAGGCCTGGGAGGAGGAGAGGGGGCTCCTCCCCCCCCCCCCCCCCAGCCTGGCGGCCCTCTAGACTCCTGGGACACTCCTCTCTTGACCAGAGCTCCACTTTGCTCTGTTGGCTCTGAGGTGGAGCTGGCGGATGCCAGCACTCAGCCTTCCTGGGAGACTCAGCTGCGGGGGGTGGAGGGTGGGGGTGGGTATCTATTCTTCCGCCCTGGGAGAATTCCCCTTGACTGGCTAAAGGCTGACGGGGCCTGACCTCAGTTCTCACTTCCAGCTGTAGGAGTGGCACCACTCCTGCCCTCACCCCAAAACTCCCGGGTTATAAATAGGCCTGAGGTGTGCCTAGCCTCAGGAGAGGCCGGGAGCCCCGAGAGGTTCCTACCTGCATGGGAGTTTCCTGGGCCCCGGGACAGGCCACAGCACGCCTCCCTGGGGCACCAGCTGTGACTTCAGCCAGCACAGGCTAGGGCAGGCCTACGCGTCCCCAGAGCACCCCCGGGGCTGGCACACCCCACTCTGCTCCCCTCTGGGGTGCTAAACAGTTAAACCTGGGGGGCTCGCAGAGCTGGGTGGTGCTTGGGTGGTTCCGGCCTGGCCTCTTGGTGGAGGGGAGGGAGGGGGGGAGGCCAGCTTGTTTACTTCTTGGTTGCCCTAACTCCTCGTCAGCCTTGAGAAATGAATAACTCCTAGAACCGGGTGTTGCAATTCTCGCCCCATCAGCTGCTCCTGAATCACCCCCAGCCCCAATGCAGGAGTATTGCCCCACCTCAAACCTGGAGGGGGAAGTCCCAGCTATGTCCAGCCCGTGGCCTCCAGCCCTCTGCACACCATGCACTAACCCAGGCAGCCTCCCGCAGAAAGAAAGGAAAGCCGGAGCAGGAGCAGAGCCCAGCGCTCCTGGGAGTCGCCACGTAGGAAAATCAGGCATATTCATATTCCATAGTTACTTGGCCTCTTTTGCTTTCAGCCTTTAGGAAAATTTTTCCATTGTTCTTTTCTTTTCTTTCTTTTTTTTTTTTTTTTGAAGCCACACCTGGCAGTGCTTAGGCTTACTCCTGGCTCTGTGCTCAGGGATCACTCCTGGCAGTGTTCACAGGATCATAGGTGGTGCTGGGGATAGAAGCCATGGAGTTTGCTGCATGCACGGCAACTGCCTGACGCCATGAACAGTCTCTCCTGCCTGAACCATCCCTCCCGCCCTCTTCATTGTTCTTAAAGGCCAACTTTTCCCTCAACGGAGCTTTGCAGTTTATGTACCTTCCAGACACCAAACTCTTAACTTTATTATTTGGCATCCATAGGCCATAACAACTCACAACATCTCTAAAATTAAATGGAGTTATTAAGTCTTCACCCCATCTCCCAGTCCCTCCATTCAGAATCTTGGATGGCCCTCTAGGTCCTGAGCCCAGTATCAGAGGCTATTGGTCGGGAGATGGTGCCATCCTCCTGGATCTGGGCAGTAACCTCACCCCTCACCACCCCTGGCCCCAGCTTCCTCTGTCCTCCATTCTACAGAGACCCTACGTAGGGGCCAAAGCCATGGTGCAGCAGTAAGGCGTTGGCCTTGCATGCGGCCCAACAGGGTTTAATCCCTGACATCCCATATGTCAGCTGAGCGTCTCCAGGAGTGATTCCTGAGTGCACAGCCACGGCCCTGAGCATCGCTGAGTGTGGCCCCAAAACCAGTAAATTGAAAGTTCTTACATCTGGGAAAGAGCTCAGTGGTCACGCGGCTCAGATACTCTTCCCCACCCCCACCCCCCACCAGGCCCCTCTTATCAAGCCCCTGGGAGTCCCCCTTCCAGGTGCCATCCATTTGTTTCCATCTCCTAGCTACAGAGTCCCTCCCTCCGAGTCCCACTGAGCTCCTAATCTCCAGCTCTGGTCCTCCTTGAAACATTTATCTCCCACTTTTAACTTTGTGTTCCAAGGGAACATCCCATCACGTCCATGGGGATAACAGAGTATAAATTTTCCTGCTGTGCCTTTGGTCTGGGCCCAGACTGTGAGTATTGGGGGCTGGAGCAGCGGGTAGGGCGTTTGCCTTGCATGCGGCTGGGCTGACCTGGGTTTGATCCTCGGCATCCCATTTGGTTCCCCAAGCCCGCCAGGAATGATTCCTGAGTACAGAGCCAGGAGTCACCAGGTGTGGTTCAACCCCCTCCCCCCAAAAAAAATAGTGTGTGAGTGAGCATTTGTTTTTTTCCCAATTTGGCTGGGTCAGAATCCTGCCGGAGTAGAACACAGGCCTAGCACATTTAGTGCTCTGAATCCCATTCCCCTAGCATCTCTTACCCTCCCCAGGGAGACCCCTGTGACAAAAAGACCTGAGCTGTGAGAACCCTTGAGTTTTGGGACCCTTGAGTGTCAGGTGGGACCCCCGCCATACCTCCCCAAGTAATGTACCCTCAGCCTCTTGCAAGCTCTTTCCTCTTTGGCCAAACCCGGCCTTGAGACAGATGCTGAATTTGGAAGAACCTTGACACAGAAGTGTTGAAAGATGGTGCTGGACAGAGAGTAGGGGACAGGGCACTTGCCCTGCTTGTGGTCTACACTGGTTGCATCCCTGGCAACTCCTGATCCCCCAAGCACTTCTGGATGTGGTGCAAACCTATCCCCCGCCCCCATCCCCCATCCCCACACATAAAGTGCTGGAAAGAATCTCAGCTCTGAGATCACATTCTAGAACTCAGATTTGCCATCTGGGTCCCTATCTGCAGCCAGAGCCCAGAGCTATGCTTCCCAAGCCCCTGTTTGCCAGGCACTTCAAGAGGACATGACCTATTGGGGCCTAGGCCAGAGTTTGGGTCCAGCCTTGGAGTCCCTCCAGGGCCAGGGCCAGTCCAAGCTGGGCACACAGGCCTCTCCCCAGGCCTCGGGTGCATGCCAGGGGCCCTGAGGCCAGGTCAGGACACTGAGCCCCCGTTCCTTTCCCTGCAGGCTTGGCTTCAGCAGTATGGCTACCTGCCCCCCGGGGACCTGCGCACCCACACGCAGCGCTCACCCCAGTCGCTCTCCGCTGCCATCGCTGCCATGCAGAAGTTCTACGGGCTGCGAGTCACGGGCAAAGCTGATTCGGACACCATGAAGTAAGTGTGGGACCCAGCAGGAATCCTGTGAGCACCACCCCCCACCTCGATCCTGCCCTGCGACTCAGAGAGGTTGCTCTGTGCATGTCTGACTGACCCCCCTGCCCACTCACCCCGTTGCCTCACGGGGTCCTTCCCCACACCCCACCTCACCCAAGACCTTCATCCACACACTTCCTACACTTCCCCACAGAGCCATGAAGCGCCCACGCTGTGGTGTTCCCGACAAGTTTGGGGCTGAGATCAAGGCCAACGTTCGAAGGAAGCGCTACGCCATCCAGGGCCTCAAGTGGCAGCACAACGAGATTACTTTCTGGTGAGTCCCGTGGCCTCTCCCACCACTCACTCATGCCGCCAGCCTGGCAGCCTTCTGGCTTCTGGGAAGCATCCTGGGGAGAGCTGGGAGGAAAAGGGACTGTCACTCTGGACAGGTGTGACCGGCAGAGAGTCTAACCCAGGGCCAGAACACTAGAGCCTGCAGCAGCCCGAGCCCTAGGTTCTTGGGGCATAGACTTCCTGAGGGAGCAGCAGTTGCTGAGTTAGACCTGGGGGCGACCCGGGAGTGTGCGGGGAAGAAGAATTTGGCCTCTTGTTCGCCTGACTCCCTCCCGTCCTCTTGTCCCGTCCTGGACGTGTCTGGCCCTCAGCATCCAGAACTACACCCCCAAGGTGGGCGAGTATGCCACGTTCGAGGCCATCCGCAAGGCGTTCCGCGTGTGGGAGAGCGCCACCCCGCTGCGCTTCCGCGAGGTGCCCTATTCCTACATCCAGGAGGGCCATGAGAAGCAGGCCGACATCATGATCTTCTTCGCTGAGGGTTTCCATGGGGACAGCACACCTTTCGATGGCGAGGGTGGCTTCCTGGCCCACGCCTACTTCCCAGGCCCCAACATTGGAGGGGACACCCACTTTGACTCTGCCGAGCCCTGGACTGTGCGGAACGAAGATCTCAATGGTGAGTGAGGGCATCCTGGGACAGTCTTCCCGCAAGAGGGCCTGCTTGCTACACAGATTGTCCTGGTCCCTTCTGTAGTGGAACCCACTAGATCTCAGTGCCATGAGGGGCCACCAACATCTGGTCTGAATGCCATTGAAAGCAAAACTCCTATTTTGAGGGATGGAGGGGTTACTCTGTGAGCTGGAGCACAGGCTTTGCATGCACGTGGGAAGCCTGGGTTCGATCCCCGGCACCACATGGTACCCTGAGCACTGAGCTGGGAATATCTCCTGAATACTGTATAGCCCCAATCAACTAAGAATCCTGTTTTGAGGGGTTGGAGCAATAGCACAGCGGGTAGGGCGTTTGCCTTGCACATGGCCAACCCAGCATCCCATATGGTCCCCTAGCTCCAGCAGGAGTAATTCCTGAGTGCAGAGCCAGGAGTAACCCCTGTGCATTGCTAAGTGTGACCCCAAAAAGGAAAAGAATCCTGTTTTGAATTATCTATATCTGTTTCCTGCTCCTTCCCAGTAAATTGATTCCCCAAGATATCAAAGCAAACCCACATTGCTTGTTTTTCAAGGCACATTTCACTCTAGCTCCCAGAAGAAACCGAGGCACAGCTCAGGCTCCAGTCTTCCTTCACATCACACTTCTGGGAGTGGGGTCAGTCCCAGAACATCTCTCTCTCCCTTTCACCCAGGAGAGGTTGCCGACTGACTTTGTGTCTGTTTCCTGTTTTGTTTTGGGGCCATGCCCAGTGGGGCTCTGGGATTACCCCTGGCTCTATGCTCAGGGACCGCTCCTCGTGGACTCAGGGGACCATCTTGGGGTACCAGGGATCCAACCCGGGTTGGTCACATGCAAGGCAAATGCCTTATACATTGTCCTATCCCTTTGGCCCTGACAAGCTTTGTGGCTTGTCTCCCAAATATGAGACCGGACTTCAGGATTTGGTCACTTTGGGAGGAAAACATGGCAGGGAGGCTTGGGGGTGATCCCGCAGCTTCTGGTGGGGCAGCTGAGAGCTGGGAAAGAGCCGCTGTCGTGACTGCCTCTTCCCTCCCTCCAGGCAACGACATCTTCCTGGTGGCTGTGCATGAGCTGGGCCATGCCCTCGGCCTCGAGCATTCCAATGACCCCTCGGCCATCATGGCTCCCTTTTACCAGTGGATGGACACTGAGAATTTCGTGCTGCCAGATGATGACCGCCGTGGCATCCAACAGCTCTATGGCGAGTAACTGGCCTCTCTCGCGTCTGTCCAGGATTCCTCCTGGGCTACACCTCTCTCCTGTGTGTGTCTGTGTTTCTCTGCATGTGTGTCTCTGTATTTATGTGTGACTGTGTTGGTGTGCCTGTGTTTCTCTGTGTGTCTGTCTCTGTGTGTCTGTACCTGTATGCCTGTGTATGTGTGTGTGTGTGTGTGAGTCCAGGGTCCCCTGCATACAGACCCTGGGCTGTTCTACTAAACTATGTCCCCAGACTTTGGTCACCACCCGTCCTTTCCCAGGTTGCTTCAGCCACCCCCTAAGACCCACACCATTCCAGGGGTGTTTCTTTCCCTCAGTCTCTCCTCTCCTCTAATTCTGCCTCCTAGTCTGAAGTGCCCACCTTGTTCTCATGCAGGAAGTGAGTCAGGATCCCCCACCAAGATGCCTCAACCCAGGACTACCTCTAGGCCCTCTGTTCCCGATCGGCCCAAAAACCCCACCTACGGACCCAACATTTGTGACGGGAACTTTGACACCGTGGCTGTGCTCCGAGGGGAGATGTTCGTCTTCAAGGTGAGAGAAAGCAGGAGGCTAAGTGCCCGGGAGTCTGGGTGGAAAGGGAGGGCTTGGTCGGACTGTGGGGGGGCTGCGCCCTGAGACCCTATGTGCTCCACCTGTCTTCCAGGAGCGCTGGTTCTGGCGAGTGAGGAATAACCAGGTGATGGACGGCTACCCCATGCCCATCGGCCAATTCTGGCGAGGCCTGCCCGCATCCATCAACACCGCCTACGAGAGGAAGGATGGCAAGTTTGTCTTCTTCAAAGGTAAGCAGGCGTCGCTTGGATGGGACTGGGCCTCCTACCCCCAGGCCTCCAGGCTTCCAGAAGCTTGGCAGTCACACGCACAAGCTGCCCCCGGTGCCATGTAATCTCATCAATGGCCAAGACCCAGAGACTATAAACTAAAACTCCCTGATGAGAATGACACAGAATTTCTTGGACATTATATTCTATCCATAACAAGTAATACAAAACAAATCGTCTAGCATTGCCTTCTCGGCAGGTTTGAGTGGTGGTGGGACTGGTATCGAAAATCGAATGTAACCAAAGTAGAGGGAGAGTATGGGGGAAGTTGTCTGCCACACAGGCAGGGGAAGGGGTGAAACGGGGGTGGATGGGGGGAATACTAGGGATTTTGGTGGTGGAAAATGTGTACTGGTGAAGGGATGGGTGTTCGATGATTGTATGACTGAAGCTTAAACATGAAAGCTTTGCAACTATCTCACAGTGAATCAAAAAAAGGGGGGATTATAATAAAATAATAAAATAAAATTAACATTCAGAATAGAGTTTAAAAAAAAAGGAATGTGGAGTTCATGCCCAATTCAGTCAGCCTAATCAATGGCTGAATAAACAGCAGTACTCCTACATTATTTGAAAAAAAAAAAAAAAAGGTAAGCCGCGTGCAGCGCCATCCGGGGACTGGGGTGGGGGTAGAGTCCACAGGCCACCTCCGAGAACCCTTGAGCCGGTGTGGAGCCCCCAGCCCATGCTTCTCTGGCCCCCTCCCCAGGAGACAAGCACTGGGTGTTTGACGAAGCGTCCCTGGAGCCGGGCTACCCCAAGCACATCAAGGAGCTCGGCCGGGGGCTGCCCACAGACAGGATAGATGCCGCGCTGTTCTGGATGCCCAATGGGAAGACCTATTTCTTCCGGGGAAACAAGTGAGTGTGGTCCCCACCCCACCGCCCCCCCGCCCCGGGCCTCTCTCCGAGACTCCCTGCCAGGTCACCTCCACTGTGTCTCTCTGCCTGGGTTGCTAGCCGGGCCTTAGCAGCCGCCTCCTGCCGGTGCCCAGTGAGTGGGCCGCGACCCGGTCACCAACTCAGACCTGGTCATTTGATGCCTCCGCCCCTGCAGCCACGCACTGTCATTAAGGGTTCTGGTGGCTCCCGGCAGCCTGGCCTTCCTTTCCGCCCCCACTTTCCGCTACTTCCAGACTGCAGGCCCTCATTTACCCCGAGCCCCTGTCCCCCACCCTGCCCACGCCCCCCTCGGTCTGGCCTCTGCTCTGACTCCGCTTCCTCGCCAGAGGCTCCCTGCTGAGTTCTCTCTCAAGTCCCACCATTCACCACATGGATTTCCCTGCCCCACCCCGCGTCTCCTGCAGGTACTATCGGTTCAACGAGGAGCTGAGGGCAGTGGACAGCGAGTACCCCAAAAACATCAAGGTCTGGGAAGGGATCCCCGAGTCTCCCCGAGGGTCATTCATGAAGGGCAGCGATGAAGGTGAGAGACAGGGAAAGGGGGGATGGGACGAGCAGGGTGAAGGCTTGGAGGACCCTGTGGGACTCATAGGTGCCTGCCAGCTCACCACCCACCTCCCCCCACAGCACACATAGTCCCCAGCTCTTCTTTGTCCTGGCTTTACATGTGCCCATTTTACAGTTGGGGAAACTGATGCACAGCAAAGTTCAGAGCTCAGTTCAGTGGCCAGGGGGAGAGAGCTTAAAGGACTGGCACAAACTTGACATCCGGGAACCTGGCACCCCGTCACCACCAGGAGTGACCCCAGGCACTGAACCAGAAGTAGCCCTGACGCCATTGGGTGTGACCCCCACAAATGAAAGAGAGAGAGAGCCAGAGACAGATCAGCGGTTAAGACACTTGTCTTGGGGCTGGAGCTGTAGCCCAGCGGGTTGGGCGTTTGTCTTGCACGCGGCCGACCCAGGTTCGATCCTCAGCATCCCATATCGTCTTCCAAGCATCACCAGGAGTAATTCTGAATGCAGAGCCAGGAGTAACCCCTGTGCATAGCCAGGTGTGACCGAAAAAAGAAAAAGGAAAAAAAAGATATTTGTCTTACACACAGCCCTCCTGGGGTTCATCCCTGGCACCCCATATGGTTCCCCCCTGCACCCAAGAGGAGTGACTCCTGAGCACAGAGCCAGCAGTAAGCCCTGAGCACCCCTGGTTGTGGCCTAGGAACAGAGAGAGAGACAGACAGACAGAGATGAGTTCAGCAGACTCGAACTCTCACACTCAGCTTTCTTTCTTTCTGCTCCTCTCCCACTCTCCCCCCACCCCGGCCCCCTCACCCCTCCTGGGCCTCCCTGCGCCCGCTTGCTGGCCCTGCAGTCTTCACGTACTTCTACAAGGGGAACAAATACTGGAAATTCAACAACCAGAAGCTGAAAGTGGAGCCCGGCTACCCCAAGTCGGCGCTGCGGGACTGGATGGGCTGCCCGTCCGGGGGCCGGCCCGACGGGGGCACGGAGGAGGAGACGGAGGTGATCATCATCGAGGTGGACGAGCCAGGCGGCGGGGCCGTGAGTGCGGCGGCCGTGGTGCTGCCCGTGCTGCTGCTGCTCCTGGTGCTGGCGGTGGGCCTCGCCGTCTTCTTCTTCCGACGCCACGGGACCCCCAAGCGGCTGCTCTATTGCCAGCGGTCCCTGCTGGACAAAGTCTGACCCCCACCGCCGGCCCGCCCGCCGCTCCCACGGGGACTCGGCCACCACGGCCAGTGGCAGCAGGTGGTGGTGGGTGGGCTGCCCCCTCCCCACGCCCCACCCCCACCTCCCTCCTTCTCTGTGCCCTGACTGGCCCCTCCCACTCTTGCCCCCACCTGCTTCCTCCCCAGATGGGTCCCTCGGGACCGGGTAGGGCCGCTCCCAGCTCCCGCCGTCCCCCCACCCCCCAGCTCGCTGTGTCCGCCCCACCTGAATGTCTTGGCTCTGCACTTGAAGGCAGGACCCTCCGACCTCGCTGGTAAAGGTCATGTGGGGGCATCTGCTCCTTTTCCATTCCGTGACATACTTTGAACCTCTGAACTCTGACCTCAGGAGGCACTGGGTACTCCTGCCCTGCCACCAGCCCCCCCCCAGGGGTACACAGCTGGCAGCCGCCTTGCCACAGACTGGGGCTGAAAGGAATCCAGCCTGGTGGGGGGAGCAACCCTGAGAGAGTCGGGGGGTGGAGGCTGCCCCCCCACCCCGAGACCTTGGGGGGAAAGTGGAGAGAGGGTCGGTCCTCTGCACAGCCCCGGCCCCTGAGGAGAACTTCCACAGGAAGAGCCTGAGCCATTGACCACTGAGCTGGAGCTTGCGGGGACCGAGGCACGTTGGCCTTGGCGGAGGGGCGGTGGGGGGGGGCTGAGACCAGGGGTGCCGATATTCAGGTGCAGGGAGCCCTGGGGGGAGCCTGATGGCCAGGGAGAAGGAAACTTGCTCAAATGAGGCAGCTGGGGCAGGCACCCAGGGGCACCGCAGTCTGGAGACGGGACAGGACCAAAAGCAGGTGTAGCACGATGTTTGGTGGGGGGCCGGACGGCGGCGGGGACACCGTGCGGTGAGCTGTGGAGCTGGGAGGGTGCACGGAAGGCACCCCTGCACGTGTGTGCCTTACAGACAGTTTGGTGGGCAGGGGCCGTGGGGGAGGCGGGGGTGTCCAGAAGACGGGCAGAGAGGGCGTACATCCAGGGACTGGCCCCCTGGGCCCTGGGGGTGAGGAACCGGGCAGACGCCTGGATGTTCTTAGCTCCTGTTTCTGAGGTGAGGCCCCACCCCTCTCCCCATTCCACTGGGTTCTGCTCCCCTCACCCCATCCAGCCCGGCCCTGTTTGAAGTCTCCTTCAGCCACCAAGGGTGGCCAAGGTACCGGGGACTTAGGACCCTGAGCGGGGAGTGAGGAGAGAGGGATGCCGGGTGGGGGGGACAGGGGTCAACGGTGCTGGCAGTTCAGCTAAATTTGTCTTGTTTGGGGTTTTTTTTTTGTTTTTGTTTAATGTATATTTTTATTATAATTATTATATATGAATTCCCTTCAAATTGTTCCTTTTTGTTAACAAGGGGCATGGGGCGGGGTGGGGGTGGGGGGCAGAGGCATCTGACCCCAGGAACCTGCGGGGCGGGGCTGGGTCAGTGCCCTTGAAGGACGTTTTTGACCTTGTTCAACCTTTCCACAGAGAATAAACGACGTTCACATTCTTGGTGCGGCTCCTTTCTCTGTTGTCGCCCAGCAGGGAGGGGAAGGGGAGCGTGCGTGGCCTCGTGAGCAGCTTTTTCCATGAGCTGGGGTTCGGGCATTTTTCATGAAGGAATATGTGGGTTCTGGGTGCATGAGAGGGGGTGAGGGTGGAGGCCATGCTCCACGCTCAGGGCTGGGCCTGGTGTGGTCCACGGGGCACACTGCCCCCTCTGAGCCCCTGGGACGGCCCCAGGCAGGAGGAAACAGCCAGAGGGACACAGAGGGACAGGCCTCTCGGAAAATCTCCTGAGCTGCCCTCGCCTGTCCTGTGACATTTTGGCCCCTGCGTGCGGGGAGGGACTCCCAGCACTGTGGTGGCCTCAGGCTCAGGCTGACTCTTCACCACCCAGGGCTGTGGTTCCCACATTCAAAGCCTCTTCCAGGCCTGGGTGCTGGTGCTCTGATAGCGGGAGCCAGGGTGGACAGGCTGTCTCTCTGTCCAGGGAGAACCCGTTTTGTTTACCTCTGGATCATCCCCATCATCCTTGGCAGAGCCAGGCTGGGGGGGCAGTTTATCCCGGCTTTGTTTCCTCTTTCCTTAGAAACTGCGCCCCAGACCAGGTTCCCAGGAGGGGGGTGGGGTGGGGGAACCCACCCTTCCTCTGAAACCCGCCTGCAGGGAGGAATCACTCAGCTGCTGAGTCAGCTCAGCTGGAGGGGAGCAACCCGCTCTCCCTCCCCCCTTCCCTTCCTGCCTCAGCCCAGCCCACCCGGGCTCTGGCCCAGGCCCCCTCCGCAGGCAGGCGGCCTCCAAGCTCCCAAGTCTGCCAGCCTCTCTTCAGCTGCTATTCAGGACGGCTCGCGGTGATTGCTTTGGCAGAAGGGGTACCCCACCTTCCTGCCAACCAGGAACCCTGACCCTCCACATGGCCTCCAGCTGTTTGGCAGGGCCTGTGTGACTGGCTGGGAGGCTTGAGGGGGGAGACCAGGCACGGGACCCTGAGGAGGCGGCCAGGGGAGTGAGGGGCGTCTGGAGGTGGCGGGCCCCGTGCATGTGGCACAGAGCTCCAGGATGAGCTCATGGCCCCTTTTGTGTCTTCTGTGGTCCACATCTGGAGGCAATTACAGATGTGACCCAGTGGGAGTTGTGCAAAACACAGCTGGAGCCAGTGGAGGGCCTGGGGAGGGGGTGCCGCGAGGGAGGGGAGGGGGGCCTCGGGCTCCTGCGGTGGCTGGAGTGCGGTTTCCCCGTCACGAGGAAATTGTTTGGCCCTGATTCTGGGATCACAAGATACTCCGGGAAGCCAAGGGGAGAGATGGGTCTGGAGGGCCCGGGACTGAGCGGGGAGAGGCGGGGGACAGCTGCCCCAACAGGGAGGACAGCGGGCCAGTGGCCCCGGGACCCCAGAACCGGCTCAATGAGGCCTGAGCCCAGCCAGGGGACCACTGGTCAGGCCTGGAGGTGGGGAGCAGAGGCCCCAGGGGCTCCCTGGCCCCATCCCTGTGTCCACTGGGTCTGACCCAGTTTCCACGGTTGCAAGTTCCTGTATTCGAAAGCAGCGCATGTGAGTGAGCCAGGCCAGGAGGGAGCGGATCAGCTAGGAGGTTTGGGCAGAACCCAGGGACGCAGCTCTGAAAGGACGGATGGGGGGAAGAGAGGCACAGGGGGCGTGCTCTGTCTGCCAAGGCACCCGCACAGAGGGGGACCCCAGGTTCCGTGGTCACTACCTCCTTTCCCCAGGTTCCTGCCACCAGCTGAGCCTGCAACTCCAAGACGGTCTGTCAGGCCCTAGGTCAGCAGGGGTAGGAAGTGAAGAGACAGTCTAAGGGGAACTGGCTCCTCTGGAGGCCAGAGAACAGGACAGAGTGGGATTTCCCCCCAATGCCAACCTCCCTTTCCCCTCCCCCTTCCTCCCCCCCACTTCCCTTTCAGAGACCAGGAGGTAGTGAGAGAAACCCACAGAGGCTGAGATCCTCTCAGAGTCATCAGTGACACAGGGCACCAGCATCCTCCCCCCCCCCCCCCCACCCCATGTAGTGGAAATCAAGGCTCAGGCAAGACGTGCTCAAGGCTCCTTATTCCCAAACAAGGAGCCAAGGGGCCAGAGCAATAGTGCAATAGGGGGTCAGGCACTTGCCTCGCACACGACTGACCCAGGTTCAGTGCCTGGTGTCCCATAAGATCCCCCAGGCCTCACCCAGGAATGATCCCTGAACACTGCTGGGTATGACCCAAAGCCCAAAAAATAAACTAGGAGCCAAGGCCTTCTGCCTTGTTTTTCTGTCCAGGCTCATTTTGACCCTGTCTCCTAAGAACCTCTCCTGGGATGGCCCCTGTGTGGCCGTGTGAGAGCGTGTGCCCTGGGGGTCAGTGACCTGTGTGTCTGGGTGGCACTTAGCTGCAGGGAGGGGGTTGTTGGCAGGTGGGGGGGGGGGGAGGGTGGGCAAGGGCGCTACCCTGGGGAAATCTATCTTGCCAAGCCAACTCCCATTCTGGGGGCAGGAAGAGGTCTTCTGAGGGAAGACGGGAGCTGAGGACACAAGGGCAGCAACTCAGGGTGGGAGGGGGTAAGAGTTGGGCTGTGTACAGGGTGAGGCATGGCCAGGGGACACGATTCCACTGCCAAAGGCTCCAAGGAAACTCCAGCCACTCTGCCCCGTGGTCTGGAGACCCTGCACCCGCTTCCTAACCACCTCCAAATCTGAATTCCTGCACACCTCGCAGGCAGGGTGGGGCTTGGGCTTAGGGGCTCTGCCCTCGCCCAGACCATCTTGGGAAGCTGGGGAGACCCGGAGGCAGCCTGGGAGGGGGCTGGGCGGCAGGCCTGGAAGGGAGCGGGCTGACTGGCCAGAGGCCACCTTCCAAATGAGCTCACACACATACTTTCCACTCTGGCCCCAGGCCCACGCAGCGGCTCAGCTCGGCTCCTTCCAGGCCAGCCGCCCTCCGCCAGCCCAGCCCCCTCTGCAGTCCGGACCGGGGAGTTTATGACAGTTTATGGTCTGGCATGCCCGGCCAGGACTGTCGTCATACCCTAGGGGCTCAGTGTCGCCTCTGTCCATCCAGGGTGAGGTCAGCGCCCCAAGGCCAAAGAGGAGACCAGCTTCCTGTCCCTAAGCTCCCACACCTGGGAATGGAGGGGACAGAAGAGGTGTCCTGGCCATGGTGAATGGGCGGAAGGGCTTCCTCTGAGTGCCTAGAGTAGTCCATTGACTTTGCAACCAGGCAGAGTCTGGGAGCTGCCTCCCTGCACGCCACTTCCTGCCCACTCACCCCACTTCCCGCTTGTTGCACTTCCCTGATTTTAGGGGCAGGATGGGGTCTGGGTGGGGCAAGGCCCGGCTAAACCACCAAGAGGGAAACAAAACGGCTGCCTGGGAAGGCCGCGCAGACTCACACACACGGGACAGGCTCCAGCTCACTTCCATCCAGCCTGTGGTCAGAGGCGTCACCCTCACCCCACTTCCAGGGACAAGCCGCACCAGACCAGAGACCAGAGACCAGTTCCCCAAAGCGCCCTTCGTGGCCGCTAGGGTCGGGAGCTATGCTAAAAACGGGGCTGCCAGGACCACCAATCTTGCCTCAGACAATCTGGTTCTGAGGACCTGTGAGTTGGAACATGCAGACACGGGCAAAACCTTCATCCCATTTGGGATTCCAAAACTGTGGCAGTTTGCAGCAGTTCCTGCATCTGGCGGATGCCCACCAGGCATGCAGAGTCACATTTTTCTCCTAGTCTGATTCACAATAATCCGCCGTCCGCCACCCTCAGTCACCATCTAAACATGTTCTGTCCTCAGTTTTCTTAAAAAACAGGACATGCTAGGCCCTCAGGAGCCCATCCATAAAAGTATGTTGGCTTGAGTTTCCAGCCCTGTGCTAGACACAAGTAAACAGCAGTAGTTGTGAATACATAATCATTATCTACACATGCACATAAGTATTGTGTCTGCATACATGGGTGCAAAATCGTTGAGCTGTACAGTTAAGCTGGGTGTATTTTTATAAATTTGCACACAGGGCTGGAGCAATAGCACAGCAGTAGGGCGTTTGCCTTGCGCGCGGCTGGCTCGGCTGAGCAGTGTTCGATTCCTCCACCCCTCTCAGAGAGCCCACCAAGCTACTGAAAGTATCTAGCCTGTACGGCAAACATATTTGATATGCCAAACACAGTAACTACAAGTCTCACAATGGAGATGTTACTGGGCCCGCTTGAGCAAATTGATGAACAACGGGAGGACAGTGCTACAGTGCACACAGGCTTATAAATTTCACTGCATTTCAGGGTCTGAGCTGTAGTACAGCGAGGAGGGCATTTTCATTGCACGCTGCCAACCCAGATATGATCCCCGGCATCCCATATGGTTCTCCAAGCACCACTCAGGAGTGATCCTTGAATGCAGAGCCAGGAGTAACCTCTGAGCATTGCCAGGTGTGACCCCCTCCCCCCAAAAAAGCA